GGAAGATAGACAACCTAATGGGTGAATTCGTGACATGGCTGATTTGATTTCTCCTTACCTCTCAAGTGCTGTACGGTGGCGGCTGAGACACCGATCGTTCTGCGGTACTGCGGTCAACGAATAAAACGCGTATTTTCTCTAATTCGGCCAGCGAAGGCATAGCGAAGACGGTGTGGATCTGAAAGCGACAATGTTACCATATTAAAATGTGTATTGTGTAATATCGGTAATACGTTTGACAAAAATCTCTTTGAATGAAAAATCCACGTTTATGTATTGAACTTATTCGCGTTAAACATAGAATAGACAACAATGTCGTGTGATCGAAAAAAGTCGTTTAGTTGGCTTGTAGATGATGATTATTGACATTTACTATAATATTTTACATATGAAATAACAGCGATCTTCATTTCCAAGCCAACTCTGACGCCGTTCTTTGTTTAATCATATAATATTATATTAAATTGTTTAATAATAGAAAATCCGTAATATTAACGTCATCAATTATCATTTTCAGCTTATTCAACCAGTTCAAATTAGCCTCCCTCACATACTTTCTTTGTCTTGGTTTCAATTAGCGTTGAAGTTTGTTTCTTTAATTTCATTGTAAGCATTCAGAACGTCCAAATTAGAGGTAATCATTTTCAATTAGTAGAAAAAGTTAACAAACTTTTGACTTTTCCACTAATTATACTTCGAAATTTGCCAGGAATGTCATTTTGAGCTTTGATTATTATCCGTCAAGAAAAATTGTGGTTAGAAATCAAAAGTTTATTGTTTTATAAGCTATATATTTAGCTTTCTCTATGGATACAACTGAGAGCCGCTGTTGCTAGGACTTTTTATTAATTTTAATTGTGTTTTTTAGACATTGTGAATGATCGTAAACTAAAAAGTATAAAGTGTAATTGAAACCAACAATTTATTCCACTAATTGCGAGGTTCTGAATGAAGCTTAAAGCCCCATTCAGAACTTCGAAATCAGTGGAATAAATTAGTAGTTTCAATTAGCCGTAGAAGTTTGTTCACCTAATTTTAATGTAAGCATTCAGAATGTCATAATTATTGGTAGTAAGTTTTAATTAGTGGAAAAAGTTAAAAAACTTTTGACTTTTCCACTAATTATACTTAAAAATTTGCGAGGAATGTTTTGGCCTTTGATTATCACCCGTCAAGAAAAATTTTGGTTAGAAATCAAAAGTGTCTTATTTCATAAGCTAAATATTATGGTTTCTCTATGGATACAACAGACCACCGCACTGTTGCTAGGATATCACTCAATTGCTAGGGAACTCACATACTCTCTTTGTAGTTGGGCCCATTGTTATCTATCCTTGCTAATTTCCTAATATTATGACCTCATCTCAGGGTTGGCCTTCTTCTAGGTTTTTTAATTCCTCGTAGGTACCATGCTGTCATTTTTGTAGTTCATTTGTTGTCCGTCCTTCCTTCCAGGTCTTCTTCTTCTACTGCCTCCCTCCTCTTCTTGAGGGATTTGATTCTGTGGATGACATCTATTATCTGGTTTTTTTGTCGTATCCACTCTATTTTTTTACGGTCTTTTTTTGGTTATTCCCAGCATAATTTCGTTCTATTGAGGGTTGTGCGACCTACAGTTTCCTTATAATGTCCGTTTTAAGGTTGATTCTCACTATACCTTCCATATCAGCTACCTTCGGTTTTACTCCAGGGATATGTTCTGTATATTGTTATATTGTGTAATTAGCTTTTCTCACTGTTTAAACTTGGTTAAAATATACATTGAATTAAAAAAAAAATGTTGAAATGTTCAAATTGTTGAGAATGTTGATATGAATACTGTCCGCTGGATAATAAAACGTTTGGATTTTATGTTATATCTAAAAGTGTTTTTTAATTAATGTTACGGCAACGGTGTTTAATGTCATCATCAGTAAGTTATCAACCCCGAGAGAGATTATGAGTGTCTTACGAAACATATCTATTTACTTTGTCGATAAATCCACCGAGCGAGAGCTACACTTTTTTTCCGTATTATCTTCCCACTCGCATCGTTAAGTGAGTCTCATCAGACACAAATTTATTCATAAACTACGTCTTAATAAGAACACCGTCGATGTAGGAATTTTTTAGAAGCAGGTACCGTAGTTTCCGACACTTTTCGCTCTAAAAGAATGTAGTTTAATTGATATGTTTTTAAATGTTGATAATCCATTTTGACTGTCATCGGGGAATAAATTATAAATTTTAACGGGTTGCCCGCTGACAATCACTGTTTCGACCGGTTTTTCGTCGTATGCCTCGGACTATAAGTTTACGTATCGGCAACTCGATGGATTCCTGGAAATTCGCCGCGATATATTCTGAGGAAGAGCAGTAGTAATTGCGCTGGTTAAGGTTGTAATTGGTTGTACGAAATACAGTCCGGGATGTGTTAATATATATCCGGTTAAAAATTCATCTTTTTGTCATTTAGTTAATTCTCATAATAAACGATATAACGGTTTTTGTTGCAATGAAAAACGTTCTATATATAATTGTAATTTATTATTATGTTTTACGATCGTAAAATAATAAAGCCGTGAAATTGAAAATAAATTATAGAAATAAAATATTTGCTTTGGTTTGTTCAAATTCATTTTATTACGATTATCGACTATTGATAATACACTTACAACCAAAAGTTAGGGATATTTAATGTGTACAGCTTCCACTAATTTCCAGAGATATTTTCCAGCGATACCTTCAGGCTTATATCTTTATCCCCGGACCCAGGATTGCAGTGGCGGCTCGTGGTTATTATTGTAGGGAGGTAAATAATATCTAAAAATAATAAATGCGCCTTCGGACGCGCCAAAATTTAATTGGTTTCTTACAAGGTACTTGTACGTTTAGTTAAAGGAAAATAAAACTAAAAATAAATATAAATTCCGTTAAAACAAAACCTACTCACTCAAACCTACCATCACTAAAAATCCAGTCAATGTTCTTTGCACAAATTTTCCACGGTAGGATTTAAAATACACATAAATAATAATGTCACAAAAATATAAATGCATACTATACAGGGTGTCCCAGAAATAAGAGGAAGTATTTTAACTGGTAGTATATTTCGGCGTCAGAAACACGCCTATGGGGTTCTTTTTCCGAAAAAAAAATTGAATATTTGGAATTTTTTGAAAAAAATTTTGGTATTTTTTTGAGTTTTAAGTTAAAGAATATAATTTCTTGATAATATGGCAACATGTTTAGTAGATTAAATTTACATGAAATAAAATCCAGAAAAGATCCAGTGGTTCAAAAATTTAAGTAAAAAAGCATTTTTTGTTTAAATTGTCAAAGTAAAATAACTTGGTTATTTTGGACTTATTTGAAAAATGGTAAAGAGAAAAGGTGTTTCTTTTGACCAGATCTACCACCCCTCAAAATACTTGCACATATTTCTAGGACACCCTGTATATACACATACACAATTATAAAAGTTTTATTTTACATTTTTTTTTATATTTTAAGTGGATGCGGCGTTTTTTTTTCGAAATTTAAGCAACTGTTATCTTTTAACCGCACGATTTCACAAACTAAACACCATGTTGTCTATTTTAAGTAACTATTCCAGAATCAGTCAACCACAGTTCGTCTTATATCCTTTAACCAGAAAATTATGAATTATTACCTACCCTAATTTCGCGCTACACCTCAAACTAGAGGTGTTTTCTTTCGATATTAAAAATTTAAATATTGCTTTACATTGACTAAACCAAAGATTATACGCGATAAACGATACAAAAACCTAGGTTGTTTTAAAATTTGAGTTTTTATAAACACCCAAACTGCCCAAACGGCGAAATTTTTCCAACGACTGAAATCCTTCTTATGAATGACGCGGTCAATGGCCAATATAAACTATATCTATCGCATCTTAACCCGTTATATTTTCTATACGTAGTATACCTTACCTTGTTGGCGTTACGATGACATTTAGAGTTTAATACGTGCAAAATCATAGCGGGAACGAAGGACAAAATGAAATTTTGACCGGTAGTAGAGAAAATGTGTAAAATGAAACGTTTTGAAGCGAAAATTGGACAAAATTGATGGTTTTTGGGAATAGTTTAGAATATCTTAGGATGAAAAAAGTTATTTACAAAAAGTATGGGGGGGGGCAAACTATTTGACCTTATGGTTAAACCGCCAGTGCAGGATTGTCTTCACAAGAGGAAAAACTATTTTATTGTTAACTTTTTGAGAAAAATACATTATTCATAAAGGTTTTTGTTAAGTATTTGATAAATAAAGTGTTCTGGAAATAGTTGGATATTGCCCTTTTAAATAGCTTTTTCTTCGTTATTTTAATGTTTTACATCTGACATCCGAAAGGTAGTCCAATCCATCATTCCCTGAAATATATATCTTTGTTGGTTAATCAAATTTGTCTCCAAGCCCATTTTGAATTTGAAATTGAAATCTAATATATTTTTTGGGTATGTTTCAAAAAAGTTTTTTAATTATAATAAAATTAATGTGTAATATTTGATTCCCTTATTTTTATACGAATGTTCTATTTTTATAAAATGTTTTAAATGGGAAAATACATTATTCAAAGAAAAATGTTAATGTTAAAATTTGTTAGAGTGTCTTAAGGGTAAGGATAACTTACTAAAAGTAAGTAAAAATAAACTAACAGTAGGTAGCTAAGTAAAGGCAGAGATATAAAGCAGGCAGTAAAGGCAGAAATATAAAACAACACTATTAACTATTAACTAATAAATATAGTTATAGAAAACTTCTTTTCTAGTTTTTTTGTTACTTTTGTTTTGTGAAAATATAATTAGCAGAAATATTAGAGAAACACTGAGATTCCAGAAAATAATAAAGATAGATCCGTAATTAATATCCTTTGGAACATTTTACTTCAGCTAAAGTTTCCTACTCCAGTGAGAATGAAATGTAATATAAAGGCCTATTTATTTTCCTGAAAAACATTGTTTTGTTGATTTTAATGAATATGATCAAATTTGTACATTCATCAGTCGCTTTAATAATTCTAATGCATATTAATTACTTTATACTAATATATTTTAATCATAACATATTATTATAACCTAATGTATTGCTATTGGTTTATTAAATTATCACTTTCAATCTTCTTCAGTTGAGGCCGAACTGCAGGATCGTTCGGATTGAGACAACCCCATGGTGTTGGTATACATGTTTTTGAATCTTTTGTCATAACCTACAATTTTTTAATAAAACTTAATAAAATACAAAACAAATAAAACACTTGATAGTAAAATATATAAGTTCAGAATCTTTTAGAAGATAATGGAAATCAAATAGCCCCAAAAAGTGCATATTACACTTTACTTATTCTTTGATATGTTCAATACTAACATTTATAAAATTGTTTTGTCCTTATTCCCGTGAACACTTTTTAGTAGAGAAACTTTTTTTTTGTAAAATTAAAATTTGTTCTTTTAAACAATTATTGCGTTGGAGAGATACTGATCTCTTTAAATAAATACAGAGTGTTACTTAAATATGTTTAAATATATTCAGGTGTGTTACATCTCGACGAAAAAATCTATTTTCTATTTGTCATTTTTCATAATTTAATAAATATAATAATTAATTTAATTATCTGTTGTAGATTGATCATGTAATTTTTTTGACAGGTTAACGAAATTTTCAGTGATCATTGCTAAGCCATTTATAATAAAGAAAACTTCAGATAAGCAGCGGCGGATAAGTTTTCTAAAATATGCAGGAACAAATGTTCTACAAAAATGTAGAAAAATCTCATATTTTTCATATTTTATTTTCATATATGAAGCTATAGGGAAATTAAAATAACTTTGGTTGCACATCATAATACGACCACCAGCAAACTCCATAAGACGACTCATGGTGTCATTGATGACGTGCACCTAAAGTTGTTTTAATTTCCCTATAGCTTTGTTTCTCTGTTCGAATTATACTACCACTTATTTAAGAAACACTCTGTGTAATAATTAAACAATTATACCTGTTGTTTATTTGGACGAACTGCTGGATCATTAATATCAACACAACCCCATGGAGTGGGAATACATGTTCTTGTATCCTTTGTTATAACCTAGAAATTGTTAACACAAGATAAATATTAGATATCGGATCATGATTTAAAAAAAATAAATAGAAATATATTATCAAAGAAACAAGTTGATTTGATTTATAAAAAAACATAACAAACTTTAATTAAAAATAAGTACCAACATTGTCCGAAATACCGGTTGAAATATCCTTTTCAGTTTTAGTGCTTAGAGGAGCTGGTAAAGAAGCCACCATAAGGAACACTGCACAAAAAATCCAAAATACCGTTAGGATATGCATATCCGTGATCTTGCTACACAAAACATCAATAACTTACTACCGGATAAAACAGTAGATTACTTTTATAGATGTTTATTAGATCTACTGATTAAACGGATTATTGTACGCATATATAGCGATTAATAGTGGTTTAGCAATTCTAAACTGAAAAATTTGGAAAAAAAATATTCATTTCTTCTCCTTTCATTCTAGAGATTGTAGATAAAGCGTTGTGTCTCATTTTTTGTAAGCTACTCTCTATCAAAGATCCCAATAAATTTATCACATCATGTCGAATATACCTTGAATCATGGTATTTTTGGAAAAAATGTAAGCAATGTATATTATAAATTTGTGTTTATTATTTATTGGCGGTAAAACAGAGTGATGTAGAACTTAGTTGTAATTTATATTTCTGTTGATGAACAATGTGTGATAATACATTTAAATTTTGTAATTAAAATATTTTTAATTATAAGTATATTTTATTCTTGGTTTGAGGTCAGGTGTAAATAAATATTTTAGAGATTTAATCCATTAATTTATTGATAAAATAAACTAATTTCATGACGTTTCGACCCATAACTTGGTCTTTTTCAAAATTAGTAACTTGAATTATTTAATCTTCGTATTAAATTATATTTTCTACTTGTTTCATCCTGAACGTAGATTTTTGAAATTGTTAAACAAATCTACGTTTAGGACGAAACAAGTAGGAGATATAATTTAATACGAAGATTAAATAATTGTAGAGCTGTGCTCCGCGGTCAATTGACCGAGATTTTGACAGATTTTGACCGGAAAGATTTTGACCAGGTCAGGTCAAAATCTTTTAATTGGCGTAAATCGAATAGCAGGTACTGACACTGTCTTGCCTAAAGCACTCGCGACGCGAAAGAATCGTTAGTTGCTGTTTTAATGTGATTGGTGTGAGGCTGTATTTTACAGCGTGTGTTTTTTAAGTGCGTTGTTGAGCATATCTGTAAGGATATGATTTATAAGATTTACATAGTAAATGTTATATTGTTTAAATATTGTTTATATTACCATGTTCACAACCACAAAAGATTTTGACGGTCAAAATCCCAACTCTGAATAATTGAAGTTACTCATTTTGAAAAAGACCAAGTTAAGGGTGGAAACGTCTTGAAATTACTTTGTTTTATCAATAAATTAATTGATTGTCTAAAATATTTATTCACACCTGATCCGAAATCAAGAATAAAATTTACTTAATATATATTTTATAAGGTCAAAGAATAATTAAAACTAAAATATTTTTAATATGAAATGTTAGTTGGCTCGCCAACTACTTTTATTATTTAAATCTCTGAAAATTCTGGTTGACACTGTTAAAGTGTACTTGGATCAAAAACTTTCTAAAATATAAAGTAGTTTTTCTTCGTTTTTTTTAAATAGAACCGCTAAAGGTTCGAAAATGCTTTAAGTACAAAAAATTAAAAATTTATTCTCTATCTAACCATCTCCATAATACAGGGTGTCATTGAAATGGTGTCGGGGGTGATAGTACTCCTAAAAATAGTAAAAAAAGTTTTTTTTACACCATTTCAATAACACCCTGTAGAGTGTTCAATTTAAAAATCGAAGAAAAACTATTTTATATTTTTGCAATAGAATTTTGAACACTCTGTATAGTTTAAGATTATGATTTTTATAGCATAGTAAGTACAGACCAACCAAATACCTAGTATACTTTTGGTTTTAGTACGTTTCTTGTATTTTTAATATATTTTTTTAAAAAGTCTTTTTTTATTTATTATTGATATTTGTGAAACTATCAAAACATATTTAATAATCTCTCCAAAAAATCCTATATGGGGTTTTCGGCACTGCAAAGAAATCCACAAAATAAAATAGTTATTTTATGAAAACACTTCTGGCGTTAATCCCAAACGGAAACTACTTGTCAGAAGTTAGGTTTAAACTCGGGTTTAAAGATACAAAAATTTGCCTAACGAACAAAAAATGCTTAACGTTTCGGAAAGTTTACCTCTTTCCGTCGTAGGAAGCAAAAAAATACAAAGAATAAAGAAAAAAAACTATTTAAAATATTTAAATTCAACTACTCGAGAACACTTTAGTGTTTCAAAACAGATATGTCTACAAAAACCGTTGACGTTCTGTTTTTTGTAGACGTATCTGTTTTAAAAAAACTAAAGTATTCTCGAATAGTTGAATTTAAATATTTTAAATATTTTTTTTTATTCTTTGTTTTTTTTTGCTGCGGCTAACTTTCCGAAACGTTAAGATTTTTTTGTTCGTTAGGCAAATTTGTATATCTTTAAACCTAACTTCTGACAAGTTTGGGATTAACGCCAGAAGTGTTTACATAAAATAACTATTTTCTTTTGTAGGTTTTCTTGCAGTGGCGAAAAACCCATTTTTGGAGAGATGAATCCTCCACTTAGGTATAGACATTTTTTATATTTAATAATATTTTAAAATTATGTAAAGTGATGAAGCCAAAAATGCAATAATATACAGTGTGTTCGGTATAAAAAAAATAATCCCTATCCACTCACACTTTTTTTGAGCCACGTGTGCGACCATGTGTAGAAGTTAAAACATTTTCCTGAAATAAATCCTAAGACATACTTTAGGTTTACACTTATCCAAAATGCCTAGGTTTTTTTTATTATAGAAGCTACAGATGCCCGACGCATTGTTGCCGGACCCGTATAAACTTTGAACCGTGGCAACCACGATTTGCAACTTTTTCATTAGCACCCTGTTAAAATTGTATTCCCCTGTTCATAAATATAATACATAAAAATTAGGTTTTGATTTTGATCCTGCAGCCGAATTTTAGACTATTAAATATCTTGAAATTTGAATTAATTGAATCTAATAAAATTGTGTTTGTATTAAAAAGGTCTTCTACAAAACACCGCTGTCGGAAATATCATAATGTCATTAAGGCTATATTCTAAGAAATCTTTTTGGAGGTGTTCTCATATATCTTAATTTGATAGGTAGTTTAATTTAATAAGGTAAAGTTGGCACGCCGTGTAATATCTGCAATTTCGTTTCAAGTCACTTTGTAAAATTGAAATAAAATTACATTTATGGTTAGTACTTTATTATTAGTGGTACTAATGTACTGTTGGAACTTCACATAAATTATTTGATTTATTTATCTTTATGATAATACAAAAAAATATATCTTTTAACTGTCTATTCAAATATACAGGATGAGTGTTAAATAAGTGCAAATATTTTCAGTGCTGGTAGATCTCGATAAAAGAAATATACAGGGGAAAGTAGGGGTGCCGCAAAGGGGTAGGTCGGGGTGGTTCAAAAAATACGTCATATGTATTCCCCCTCGATATTATAGAAACGGTATTTTTTATTTTTTTGATATCTTTTTTGGTTTAAGAATTATAGCCATTGTAAGTTTTCAGTGGCCGACCCTGTATATTATTTCTCTTTATCGCTTTTCAAATAGGTCCAAAATATCCGAGTTATTTTACTTGAAAATTCCCCAAAAAAAAAAGATTTCTTTGCTTAATTTTTTTTAACTATTAATGAATATTCCTTCATATAATAATTCATTCTCTCTAATAATAATTCATGTATTTATAGGTAAGCAGTGAATAATTAGTATATTTTTTTAATATATTCTTTTTATTAAATATCAAATAGACCAATGAATGCAGGCTACCTTTAAAATATGCAAGTTTTAGACTGTCTTAGCCAAATGCCATGGGAACCTTTACCAACGAAAGAATTTCCTAAATATCGGAGGGATTTAAACTTTGAATAACCTCAGAGTCAGAGGGCACATAATCCACCAACAGTGAGAAAATATATATACGTATGTTTAACATTTTGGGTCACATTTTCCACATATAAATATTTAGTGGTCACGATCAACACCGGCAAAGCCAACTTTAACATAGCTTTCCGCGAGCCCGTAAACATGCTTCGAGTGTTGCTACCGGCAAAAATAAAACAAGAAACTTGTCATTTGATATATAGCGTTGTCAATTGTAATATATAGCATTATATTACGGCTGCTTCAAAATTCACCTATACTTTGACATTTTGCATTGTAAAAATCACCCAATATCAATATAAGAAAAGTGTACATAGAATAATATTATTTTAATTTTACAATAATTGCGGCTATGTTTTCGTATTTAAAAAAAATCAGTTTGTGCAATGCCTATTTTATATTATTTTTCTGCTGAATATCAAACACCAAACGTTTTATTCAAGCTTAGCTTTATTAAAGCCTAGTTGCGTATCGTACGTATTGCTTGATGTAAAGTGTTATCTGGCATACTTATCATCAATACGGCTTTGACAAAAGCCGTGATGAGGTATTCTTGTGTTTTTCCATTTTCCCCACAGAATCTGTATTCGCCGTTGTTTCTCAGCTTCAGCCTACTGAGGTGTTGTGTTAGTAACCCCGTGACAATCCGAAGATTGTTTTTACTTAAATCAAGGAAAATCTTTGATTTTTCTCGGGCTTAAGTTCTGAGGAACTTTTTCGAGTGTCTTAGACTTTTGGAGGACACACATTCCAGATTATGGATGGAGTCTTCCCGGTTCTTGAGTTCCGCTTTACGTTGATTTCCGCTTTGAAAGCAGAACGGTTCTCGTCCAGTTAGTGGAGTGTTCGCTCCTTTTTCTGGGTATAGTAAGTATAAGACATCATGTTTGAATATTCAATTGTAATATAATATATTATTCATACTATATAAAAGTCTTTCCGATTCTCAATTCCGATTAAATTTGTCGGTAGGTATTCGCGACAATTTTGGAGAATATGTAGTATTAAGTTAAATTGCGAATACCTGAACCATCTACGATTGGCTGATGATATAAGGCTGAAGAAGATGATATTGTCATAATATCTGAAGAGCTATAAGCTACAAGTACGAATAAATGAGTTTGAGGTAATGAACTAGTAAACATTCAAGTAAATTAAACAAATTATTTTACGTTTGAAGTAGTAGACGAATATTTGGATCAATTGATGTCGATAATTCAGGTTCTCTACTTTCGGAAATGATCACAAGACTAAAATTGTCTTGTGAATGACAATTTACGCAGAATTAAGATCTTAAATCTTTAAAACATACCTGAAGAAAAGAGC